AGTTTAAAGCGACTGTGGAAATTAAGTGTGTTACAAAGTTTGTAACGAGAAAGAATAAACTATTTTTTTATTAACAAAGGACTTGTATTGCTGAAGTTTCTCGGAAATAATTTTTACGTGAAATTATCAAACAAGCAGATACATAACAATAATTTATTCCGTCAAAGCGTGGTTCTAACATAATTGAATCAGCCTGAGTGCACTTAAACAAAAGGAACATAGGATACTTAGAAGAAAGACCAAACGATTACGGTAACTCGCGTCACAATTGTAAGTGAATCACACACAGAATACTAGTGCGATAGTAAAAGAGAAGTGGACTTTTCACAAGAAGAAGAGAACTATATATGTAGTGTTTATGATATGGCTGTAATCTCTATAGTGTTGAAGAATTTGTTTTACATACGTTAACTTGTTCTGAATATATATATTATTTTGAAAACAAGTGAAGTAGTATATATTTATACTATTAAGAAATATAAGTAAAAGCCCTTTGTATTTTGACAATTGAAAAAATATAATTTTTGACAAACACCATAAACATTTTTTTAAGATTCTTATTTAAAAGTATGCTGCATATTGTTAGCACAAAGCTGCACAATGGGCTATCTGTGCTCTGCCCATCACGGGTATCGAAACCCGGTTTATAGCGTTATAAGTCCGCAGACATACCGCTGTGCCACTGGGGGGTAAAAAATGATGCGCAGGTACGTTGTTCTAAATTAACAAACATACTACATTCAAGTAATAGCTAAAATATTATTATTAATTGAATTTGTCAGTCAAAGACGCACCAAATAGAAAGCTTTACAAACAAACACATCACAAACTTTAAGAAAAGCATATTCATATATTTATTTTAGTATTGACAAACAAAATAATATAAAAATAGCTAACTTCTTTATTTCAAATTTCTGTAGTGCTGACTAGGGCCAATTAGAAGGGGGGAGGGCCTCAAATTTAGGCAGTTGTTATTTTTATATTTGGTGAGTTTTATGTACCTCCCAATCAAACCAAAATGTGACACACACTCTAGCTTAGAGCTACAACTTATATATACAAATTAAATATTCAAATTATGTTTTACTTTTCTTTTGGGTTAATGACTGTCTTATTTTTTTCATGTGTCATTATTTTTTATTATAGCCAGGGGCCTCAAAAAATAGAAATGGCCTGAACCTCTGAGAGAGCCTGGTGCTGACATCATTACGGAAAGGACAGCGAAACACTATAAGAAAATGTAACATTACTGAACGCTCGCCTTGTGGCTTCAACGGAAGTGCCCTCTATAGTCTCTCAAATATATCACGATTACTAACGATTTATTATACAAAAACTGAGTATTTCAAGAAAGCGACTTTATCATCTTTATTCTAAGAATCCTTTTGGAATTTGAAAGATTTTACTGAAGTGTCCCGCGATGGGTCAGAGATAATGTTATGAACTTCCAATGCTAAAGTCCGAGGTTCAATTCCCCGTGGTGGATAAAGTTCAAACAAACCATTGTGTGGCTTTGAGCTAAAACAAAATAACACGCACAGTAGAAAAACGATATCCCTAAATTCTTCATTCATTTGACGAGTTACCCTTGACAGCAGTGCATGATATACCTGTATGAATTTTAAATATATATTTTAAAATACAAAATACAATGTTTGTAAGTTATGATTTTTATTTCTCTGTTTTGCTAACTAGATACAACCAATATTTAAATTTTGAAGTTAGGAATATGTGACCCAGTGTGTCTGTTCGTTAAAATGGACAATGATGTAACTCTGATATTTTATTTCTTTTTTGAAACTGAAGTTAGGTGTAAAGTGACATCATTTCTCCTGGGAGATAGGGTTAAGGCGGTGAAATATTTAATAATAATAATAACATTCATCATTGAATAAATTAACATATTAATTGCCACTATTTGTCGGATGTTATTTTAGTTTCCTGGTGTACCAGTATACTAATGTACATATTTCTTGTGATAAATAAAGACAACGTTGTCGACGTCTATTAGAAATTGTTATTTGTCGGATGTTATTTTAGTTTCCTGGTGTACCAGTATACTAATGTACATATTTCCTGTTGATTAAATAAAGACAACGTTGTCGACGTCTATTACAAATTGTTATTTGTCGGATGTTATTTTAGTTTCCTGGTGTACCAGTATACTAATGTACATATTTCCTGTTGATTAAATAAAGACAACGTTGTCGACGTCTATTAGAAATTGTTATTTGTCGGATGTTATTTTTAGTTTCCTGGTGTACCAGTATACTAATATACATATTTCCTGTGATAAATAAAGACAACGTTGTCGACGTCTATTAGAAATTGTTATTGCACTACTCTTTAAATATATTTTATTATAAACATTTTTCACGGCTAATTAGGGTTATGTAAAATTAAGATTAAATTATGCGTGACATTGTTATCTCTACGGACTTACAACGCCAAAAACCGGATTTTGATACTCGTGGTGGGCAGAGTACAGATAGCCCATTGTGTAACTTTATGCTTAACTTCAAATAAACAAACAAAATACATTTTTTTAAGTAAACAGATAGAGGTCACTTTAGATTTTTAAACATAGAGGACGTTCATCGTATTGTATACGAGAAAAACGGAACATAGTTTCGTAGAAATATTAGTAGAATCATGCTGTCTCAAGCATATCTGTATAAGCAGGATATAACGAGTCTATGTTTTATTGTACATATATGGGAGACTCAAGATTAGGGTGACTAGGCAGTTATGTTAACGTGTAAAGTAGCCATTAGTTGTGATATGGATGTATTAGATACTGACGTGACTTGGTATGGTCTGAGGGTCGTGAGTTCGAATTCCGCCACCGAACATGCTCGCCCTTTCAGCAGTGGTGGAGTTATAATGTTATGGCCAATGCCACTTTTCGTTGGTAAAGAATAATCCAAAAGTTGGCGGAGGGTGATGTTTAGGATCTTGCTCTTAAATTAAGATCGGCTAGCGCAGGTATCCCTCGGGTAGCTTTGCGCGAAATACAAACAAACAGAGACTGAAATTAACTACCGATCCAATCAAGTTACGATTAAACTTTAAAACATCAGATATTATAGCTAATTAAATGTACTGTTTTTTAAGTTCTTATAAATATTACGATGTATTTTTTCACCAGTTGGGTACCTTCAGTGATAACAATATTTTCAGCTATAACCTCAATAATATTGCACCAGGTTTGAACAGTTTAAAATTTTTAAATTAGTCCTAACTTCAGACGCCAAGCGGACAGTGAAAAACAACATCTGTTGTAAAAAATGAAAATAAAATAATAAATATATTAAACGAAGTAATAAAAATGGTAAATATGACAGTTAAAGTAATAAGTAACTCAATTAATAAGGTAATGTTATACTATATAGAAACTGAACCCCGGATTTTAACATTGTAACTCCGTAAATTCACCGCTGCCCCACCAGGTGATAAATGAATAGATTAATACCAGTTCTTATTTTGATAATATAATAATATTTACTTAAATCATCGTTGAGGTATTACAGACCACGTATTAGAATTATCAAATACTTAATAGTGGCTTTTTTTATAACACCAGTAATATTTTGTATTTATAGTGTGTTTTGTGTTGTTAGAGTATTCGGTATAGTTTAGGTATTACATCATAT